TCCTCCATGGTCAGCCATTGTCCGGTTTAATAATATGATTTATTTTAAGTTTTGGCCTTAATTGTGATTAAAATGTGGCTTGATTTTCACTTCTCTGTAGGTGATCGCTGTCTCTATGAAACAATAGGAGGGCCTGTAGAAGCTGGAAATGGTACACTATCTGTGTTTAACATGGAGTAATACAAATACTACTGCAGTGGCCAGCAGTGTCTAAATAAAGTACAGGAATTGTCCTTTGATACATTATTTTAATCCTTCTAACAGGGGCCAGTAATGAACCAGAAGAGAGCCTTTACTCAAATGTGGCTGCAGGTAATGTCAAGTACTAAACACTTTTATACATATACACATAAATATACTAAAAGCTTGTATAATGTGCTGTGCTGCTTGCCAGTTTCAGCAATGAGCAAATCCACCAAAACACTTTTTGTGCATTGTTACACAGCATGTTGTTTTCCAGTAATGTCTTGGTTTAATGATACATTATTTAAAATATCATAATTATTAAATGGAAAATGGAAATATGTTCACACACAAATGAATTGGCATTAAAATACATTGTTTTATTCAAAAATAGAACACTGCTTTTGTGTAAATAGTGCAGTGCCTTTTAAAAAAAATGCCTTTCTAGGAACATGGTGAATGCTTTGCAATTCAACTGTACTTACTTTCTGTGTACTTATATTTAGTGTAAAACATTGTACTACCACCTTATCTGTTAAATGTCTGATTCAGATCATGTGGCTCGAACCTTGTTGTACATTGAGTGATATTAGAGCCAGATACTAATATATGCAGTATGGACACATGCTTTAGCACTGTAGATGCACACAGTGGACACACAAATATATTATTAATAAAACCCAAATGCAATTATACCTGCATGTACTGTTCAGTGAATGATTCTTACTAGATGCTACCACAGGGTGCCCACAAATTATCTAATGCCTTGAATTTATCTGCAGAAGTAGTCTCTTGCAAAAGCCAAAACATCTGAAGTCACAGCACCACCAATAGGTCAAACAAGCTTTTCAGATTCAAAGGAACTGAAGCACACACCTGTTGTACAATGTATTTGTTTTCTTTCAGATATTTAGGGCCCGTTTTTTGTTTTTATAACTTGGTTTATCTCATCTAATTTTTAGTAATACAAATGTTCTGTATTGTGTGAAGCAGATTAACCAAAATAACTAAGAACATGATGGAATTTCTCATACGCTTGTCACCAATAAAAAAACATCAACCCACAAATCTTTATTGCATGATTTCAATGCAATCAAAGCAGTATTTTATTCCTGTCCAGGAAGAAAACAAGGCAGAACATTTTATATTTTTCAAACATGTTATTGTCATTACAATTTTTAAATGGTAACCAAAACCACCTAGTGTCAGCAGAAAGTATTACAAATAATGATTACAAAAAATGCAAAAAATAAATAAATAAATATATAAAATATATTTTAAGATCATGTTTAATCATCTGATTCGTCTATACATTGCTGTTTTAGTCTATGTTCTTCTAATTAGTGTCTACAGTGTGTGCCTATTGAGCCGTTTTGAGCCATGTGGGACAAAACCTGATCATACCCCTCCCTCTCACTGTCTAAGTGAACGGTGACTGTAAAAACTACACTGCGCATGCTCAGAGTATTTTCCTATATAGGCCCAATCCCAAACCACTCCCTCGACCCTACCCCTCCGTGACGGAGTGAACTCCGTCTGTAGCCACACTCGCAGCTCAACGAGGCTCCTCCTGTCAGATGGAGGGAGTAAATACAGCGGCAAGCTTTGGGACAAACTCCCCTCTCTCCGGCAGAAACAGGAAATGCCGTAACTGTATGTAACAACGGTTTCAAATCAGCATCTCTTAGACAAAAAATGTAAATTAATAACTCAAATAAAACTCCAAACATCTTTCATTGTGTTACTTTTTCTGTAAAGCTCTTTTAGTTTTAAACCTGATGTTTATAAGCTTCTTAGTTTTTGCAACAGTCTGTAAATATACACAACTTTATAATAAAATGCACACATTTACCTTTTTCCAGACTAACCACAGGTACGATCCTAAGTTAAAAAAATATGAGGTTATCATGAGGTTGTTAACATCGCAGTTTATCAGTGGATGTTTGCTGGAACTACTTGTAAACAGCGTGTTTCCTGACGGACACACACAGCGTGACTCCGGTCAAGTAGAGACCGGTCTCAAGTCAGCACCGCTGCAGACTCGCTGTTTGAGGGCTTGATAGCCCACTCCCCCTCCACACTCGTTGGTTTGGAACAGCACTTAATGTGGCGGACCCTCCGCGCGAACGCGCAAACGGAGGGGTAGTGTGTAGGGGGCGGTTTGGGATTGGGCCTTAATGTGTGTGGCAAAAAAATAATGACCATAGGGGCACTGAGCTGCCATCCCCACCATACATCATCTCACATAATTCAGAGCTGATTGGCTGTAAGTACGTGTGCCGCGAAAAGTGTGGTGTGTGAAGAGGAGACGAGAGAGCTGCAGTGACGCGTCCTAAAACCAGGAAGTAAGCTGCGCTTGGCTTCCCTCGACAAAAAAGCAATGAGATTTCTCCATAGGATTTTAGAAAATAGCTCGAAATAAGATCTGTGGGAAACGTACCTGTTAGATCAATGCACGTTTTGTTCAGCCGGATAATATCCACATGTCTACCCTACTTTTATAATTTTTTTATCATAAATCTATCGATTAGATTTATGATAGACTTTTGAAACTACAAGAAGATAAGGAGGACTTTTACAAAAAAGTAATAGATATTTTTGTCCAGAAGGATAGGCAAATAGACTTCATCTTCAAGTCAAGGTAAGACCGCAATTTTATTGAAAATGGGATCTTACTAAGAGAGAACAATTCAATATTTAAATGATAAAATTACATTTTTTGGGTATCCTTTTGTTGAACTGTCTGTTTAAAATTAATCGAAGCATCAGACAAAAAAAGCTTTTGAAAATAATATTATATTTTGGTTTAGGTCAAAATATAATATTTGTAAACCTGAAGAGTCAGTGCGAGTGCCTCACCAGCCATGAACCTCACTGCACGTCACTGCAGAAGCTTATATATAGACATCTAAGTTGTTTGTGCCCCACCACTTTTGTACATATAAAAACGCCACTGCATATTTCCAATGCACACCTTTATTTAATATAGTTGTAAACAATAAGGTAGGAAATCATACCAGTGTGTACTATAGGACAGTAAAAAATTAAAAAATACAGTTTAAAATGGAGTGATTAGTCAAATAGGCATAAATAAAAGAAAGAATGCTAACTAGGTAACATAAGATAAGATAAAGATAGGAGAGACTGAGGTGTTAATAAAATAAACAAGTTTAAATTATTTGTTATTGTTTGTGATCAAGGATTTTTGATTATTTAAATATATACAGTTCTGTTTCATGAGTGTTGAGTGCTGTATCCATAAATCCCTTAATTTCCCCTCAAAGTGTGTGTAAACGTATACAAACAATATGCTGTATGTAGAGAGATGGAAGAAGGGAATCTACTGACGCACTACCGCAAACATTAGTTTGTCCAATTTATGTAAGTATGTTTTACTGAGGATATTTATTTAACTTTTTCTCCAGTCACTGTGCAGTTATAATAGAAGATTTATTTTGATATATGACCACAAGGTGGTGTCAAACTACTTTATCTGATACTTTACCTACTCTACACAAATAGTCCTTCTGATGTCTGGCAGCAGAGTTTGATGTCATGTAACTCCTAACTAATAACTAACAATTGACTGCTTACGGTTCACTTCCTTAGCTTACCACTGATGCATGGAAGTGGAAGCTTTCAATGTTGACTACCCACCACATTTAAAACTACACAGCTACTGAAGTGTCGTGGTATTATTTATTTTGACCATCTTTATGGAATTAACATAATCTTTGTTCGACTGTGGATCAAATGTTGCACTTAGAAAAAACATGTTCTGTATTCAAATGATTGCTTTATTACTAATGATATAGATATGAAATGTTGCTCCCTTAAAGTAGATAGAGTCTATCTCGAGGAGGGGGCTGGACTTTGTCTCTCTTCACGTTCACTTCTGGTAAAGAGACTATGAGAGACTTCCTGTGGGTGAGGTTGTTTCTAAACTTAAACTTGAATTCCTCCATAACACTCCATCACTGCGTTTCAACTATTTGGTTAAAGCTGTTACACACATTTTCATATGAAATATTGGTGAGAAGGCCCATGGATTATAAAGTGAGAATGACGCCTGCAATTGTATCTCCTTCTTAAAACTGTATGCACTTTATTTGTTCTAGAAAGACTTCATGCAACAGCCTTTAGAGAAGCATCTTTGAAGAATCACGAGCCCACAGGATGATCTTATCTACATCAGGAAGGATATGTTAACACTTTATCTCTGTTCATCATTAGAGGATACCTAAACCAAGGTGCTAACAAATGTGCTGTGTTAAAAGCTGCTCAGTTGTGTGAGCTTAGTCTAAAAGGGAAGGAAGCCCTGACCATGTAAAGAAGTTAAAAAAAAAACTTCCGTTTCCAATATTACATTGCATTTGTTTCTCTGTAGTTCCTGATTTCTTTTCATATGCTGCAGTTTCAGTCTTTCTATTTGCACAAAGTAGAAGACTTTCTCAGAAGCAGATTATCAGTGTTGGATGTGAAGATGGGACACACTTTGCTCTGTCTACGGGGTTTTTTCTGTGAGTACTTTTCCTCTTTGAATTGCCATTGATAAAACGTTTTAAATGCCTGAGGTTAATATATATTTCTGTCAGTTTGATAATGTCTGATTTAGTTTCATACTTATTTTAGTTCTGAATTTACTTTACCGTGGACAAGCTCAAGGTAATTATACAATTTTCATACTTTTTGTTTACTCATTCTAGACAAATCTACCGATGTAACTCTCCAAACAACATCCGTTTGGTCAATGTATAATACTGTTTTTGACAAAAAGAAAACACATTTTACTTTTTGTATCTTGTGATGGTTTCTAGATGCTGTACTGACCATTGAGCCAAACTGGACTACTTTTTTTACCGGAGAGTCTGTTACCTTCAAGTGTGACTTTACAGGAGACAAAGACAGCGACTGGTTTTACTCAATCTACAGGAATGATCAAGAATGGCTTCATTACAACAAACATGAGAGCTATGAATTACATTCTCTAACTCCAGGCTACAGTGGTACATACCAATGTTGTTTTGATCAGAAGGGCTCAAGAAAGGAAAGCAATAAAATCTATCTAAATGTATCAGGTAAGTGATCAAAGTAATACCACCATTACCAAGTTCTAATATATAATCTCTAAATTATTGTAATGTTTTAACGTTTGAACAGCTCCACTGACGCTGTATAGGCAGGTGAAGTATACTGTACAATCCTGTGCTTTTCGTTATCACAAAATAATGAGTATTAAAATAAGAATAAGAAGACAGGGATCAGTTTCTTACATCAAAGCATTTACATAAAGATAATACTTCACCAACAAACCTTGTTATACTTTATTACCTGTGACAAATGGATTGTTTTCACATTGACAGTTTCTGAGAGTAAGTCATTTATTATCAGTTAACTTTTTTTTACTGTATATACAAATAGTATTTTGGTTATTATATTTAAGTACAGTTCACACTTAAATTAGTTGTTTACATACTGTTTTCCAACAGACAGACCTAAGCCTGTCCTCACTGTGTCTCCATCATGGCCGAGTCCTGGAGCCTCAGTAACTCTGAACTGCAGGGTTGATCATCCTTCTGCTGGCTGGAGCTTCTACTGGTATAAGGCTGTTCCCCAAAAGTCAGACCACTTCTACAACTCCTACAACTCCTACAGCTATGAGCTGCTACCTGGCAGCGAGAATGGGACTGAACAGCATCTCTTCATCATTGATGGACAAACACACACAGCAGGATATGTGTGCAGAGCAGGAAGAGAGGATCGAGTGTATTACAGTTGGCATAGTGAACCTAAGTTTGTCTGGTCTGGAGGTCAGTATGTTCTTTCTTTTTCTTTCTTTCTGTAGTTTGTACCACCATTAGGCCAACAAATGTCTTTATCAAAGTTTGCCTGGTCTTGAGGTTTGTTTTGATTTTATTCCATTATTGCAAAATGGAACAAAGTCACTTATTTTGGGAACTTTTCTTTTACACCAGCATCAGGTCACAGTTCAGTTTTCAAAACCTTTCTCTAAAACAGAATGATGATTGACTGATTCATCTTCTGGACTTGACTGAATTTGAACACAAAATAATCTCTTTTCATCCTGACACATGAGTTGTTGTTCGCCATGGTTCAAACCTTAGACTTTGTCAATCCAAAACCTTATAATATAAGGCTTCTACAATACATTAGATATAACTGGTAAGTGTTTTCTTTATTTTTTTAGTTTGGAATTTTTTTTAAGATATTTATCTGCTGGTTAAATAGTTTGAGACATAAACAATACATATAATTAAACACATTTGTAGTGTGAGATTGAGGCACTGGTACTTTCACTTTTGTTTTCCTCCTACTTTAGTTTGTTCCCGTTTGTTTTTTCAGGGTAAATTAAGTGGCAGTTTTGCCATACCAATGCATTGTCTTTTTCAGTCTGCATGGATTAAATGTCCACTCTTTGTGTGTTTCAGATTTGAATTCAGCAGCGTCTCTCACAGTGAGTCCTGACAGTGTGCAGCACTTCACCAAAACGTCTGTGTCACTGAGCTGTGAGGGAAACTCCACTGAGTGGAGAGTGAGGAGGTTTACGAAATCTGACAACCTTTATCAATGTTCTTCCTGGGGGAAAATGACTGGATCCACATGCACAATAACCAGCAGCTGGGTTAGTGGAGTGTTCTGGTGTGAGTCTGAAACAGGACAGTTCAGTAATGCAGTCAACATCACTAAATATGGTGAGTTTTAATTATTTAAAATGTTTGTTTCTGAAGTATTATGTTGTTTTGAAATGTGAAGGTGACAAGCATTAGCCAAACGTCTCTTCAAATTAGTAAAACTTCATAAAAAAACTCCAATTTGCGAAGTGATTTCCAGGGTTACTTCTCTCAAAGATCAAAGATAATATTCTGTGTTTTAATGTCCTCATACATCTACCTGACATTTCAGCTTCTGCCAGACTAGGCCAGTTGTGCATAAACATATTAAATCTGCAAAAGCTGATGACTCTGTCAAAGCCTTTATATTCTTTGATTTCTTTTCAGATTATGAAATCATGCTGGTGAGTCCTGTCCGTCCTGTGGCTGAGGGACGTTCTGTCACTCTTAGCTGCAAGTTCAAGACAGGAAATGTATATAATGTGGATTTCTATAGAAATGGCAAACTCATCCAGAACGATACCAGGAAGGAGCTGACCATCTCTGCAGTGTCAAAGTCAGACGAAGGCTTTTATAAATGTAAACAGATAGATTCAGCACATGGTAGGACGTCACCAGAGAGTTGGTTCTCAGTCAAATGTAAGTATGATTTAAAAACCCTTCCTTTTTTGTAAGCTGTGTTACAGTCTGAGATAAAGAAAGCTTAGTTTCATCTGAATTAAACTGTGTTTGTTTAAGAGAGATGTTTTATACAGTTAATCTATAACAGGAACGTTTAATATAAAATAAATATTAATAAATATTACTTATAATAGCAGCGTCCGGGCCTGGAAAAGCCTCTCAATTTCCCATTCTTCTGATCGTTGGGCTGCTTGGTGGAGTTGTACTGATTATTCTCCTGCTGCTGTTCCTGCATTTATACAGAAAGTCAAAAGGTGAGATCATTTTCTTCTGATATCAGATGGACTCTAATGTAACCACACGTACTGTTTTGACAGTAGGACACTTTGCAAAACATAATAACATAGCAGCAAATGTCTTCTTTTTTTTAACAGATTCATGCTGTATCAGGTTGGTACAACACTCTATTTTATTTTATTATGAACATGACAGCAGTGATATGTTCCTTTATAAATCCACTTCATTTACTACATGTGTTTTGCCCACCAGATCTCAGAGGACCAATCAGAGCCCTGCTACAGACCACATGATCAACCAGGACAAAACTAACCAAAGGGAATATGCTTCCGTTCTTCAGGGTCAGCCTGAATCCCTAATACGTTTTGAATTTTTTGTGAACGTAGCATCCGCGTAGCATTTCCATTTCTCATTGGTTGTTTTTTAAAATGTAGGAGTTCATATAGAGGGATTTTAATATGAATTGGGTTTGATTTTGATTTTGATTTCTCTTCAGATAATGCCTGTCTCTATGAATCAGTCAAAGGCCCTGAAGAACCTGCAAATGGTACAGTATAGTAAATATAAATACTGGAATATGACAATTCAAGGTTCACTCTTTTAATTATAAAATAAATTGTATATTTCAGATGAATCCACGGATGTGACATATTCTGTGGTCGAGCTCAAAAACATTTCTAAGAAGGGTGAGTGTTTGAATTGATGTTGTAATAAAAACATGCAATACGTTTTGTCTTTTCATGCTTTCTCCTGATCCGTCTAACAGGGAAGAAAAATGAACCGGAGGATTGTGTTTACTCACATGTGCAGATGACATCAGCTGCAGGTATGAAGAAATACTACTCGCTTTAAGCTTTTGATATGGTTACGTGCTGCCTGCTAGGGTGTCATTTTATAATGTACCACAAGGTTTTGCCAAAGTCAGCAATGTTCAAATCCTTAAAGGGGACCTATCATGCAAAATGCACTTTTGTACGTCTTTTATACATGATTATGTGTCCCCGGTGTTCCAGGGAACTCACCAAGTGTCAGAAAACACAACCCTCTCTATTTTCCTCCATACCCAAAAGAGGCTGCAACGGATCTGATAAAAACTAATCCAGATTTGAACACTGTCCTGACGTCAGGACAGTGGCGCTACGGCTATTGGGCCAACTCCACCAATCAGGAGGAGACAGCCACGGCCATTGCCGTTCGAAAGCGCTGGAGACGCTGTAGTACATATGCCAGGCCTGTAGGTGGTGCTGTTCTCACAGAATCTGCCCTTGCAAAAACAGGGCTAAAAAAGTGCAAATTGAGCGAAATGAGGCATGGCTAAAATGCATGATCTGTTTGGTATTTTGAAAAAAAAAAAGTATAAATATGCCTTATATAGGTATGGTCCTACACTATATTATTAAAATATAGCATGATAGGTCCACTTTAAGTTTTTGTTATGGTGCCTGCTAGGGTGTCATTTTTAAATGTGCCTCAAGGTGTCGCCAAAGTCAGTAATGTTCAAACCCTACACATAACTTTGTCAATGTTTGTTAAGTTTATTTTCTGTCAATTCTATGCATTCATGAAAAAAACATCAGGTCATATGACATTTCATTCATCTGTTTCCATACATGTATAACTGTTGTGAATCATCATGAGCAATTACTTCTGTCAAACTATCACTTTACCTTCTTGGGAGGAAAATGTATACCAGTACATTTTCATTTTTAACTGGGGGGGGAATACTGTAAAAAAATAAGTAATAATAATCTCTTCATTCATAGGGAAGTCAAGTCCTGCACCAGCGGATGAAACTGTTTATTCTGAACTCAAACCAGGAACAGCTCTTGGTAAAATTGCAGCGTAACATCATGTAAGTATTGGGATTAATCACTTTATATATTTCATATATTGTTAAATATATTGTAAATGGGAGTAATATGTAAATTCTTTAAAGGATTAAACCTTTTTTCTTCTTTGGTTTTCTTTCAGATCAAACACTGCCTTCTGTAAGGACAAGACGAATGGAAACAACATACCAAAACGAAACCTTTGTTTATTAAACCTTATTTGCAGCTTTGCTCTCCATTTATCAGCGAGTATTTTGTACAGTTCATGTAATAGCGGAAAATGTAAAATAAATGCATCGTAAGGCTTTAATCTATGTTTATTTAAAAAAAGTAAGCTTTGTTTTGCATCAATAAACTTGACTTTAATTGCTTCTACATGATTTTTCTCTACACAAGGTGTTTGTTTCATCATCCTCCCTTTTATTTTGGTGATCCAGTACAGTCATGCTTTTAGGTGACAGAAATAATTTAGAGGTGCAAGAGCTGAGATGTGACCAAAAATATGTCACTTTGAATCATCGGCCTTGTTACTAGTGATGAATCAGAAGAAACATCTAATATTAGAGGTTTACAGGATTTTACCAACAAAACCTGACTTTTGTCTTCTGTTTTTAGACTAACGCATGATAAATGATCAGAATTACAATTGCAATAAACGTCAGGTAAAGAATGAAAAGAGGTTCAATCATTCTGCAGTTGTCTCGATGAACCATCTAACTGTTGGCGTTAAATATATCTGCCTGTGAAACACAAGTATAATACTGCCATCCATTTTTACTTGATTATGAGTTGAGCAAAAATGACTATTTACTCGGCCTTTTTAAAGTGGGATCTTGGTAGAGAGTGAAGTTCAAATGTATCTGCATGGCATGAGCATGAATTAGTCATGCCAATATAAAACAGGAAGGAAAGAGAGACTAGTTATTCTTAGGAAATGTGTAAATAACCAATGAGCTCATGTTAACATCAGATCAGATTTCTTCCCACAGTGCTCTGTCAGTCTTCCTCAATTGTCTTCAAGTGTTAAAGTGGATGTATGTGTAAGAGACAGAGAGTCAGTGTTCGATGTGAAGATGGGACACACTTTGCTCTGCACGCTGGGGTTATTCTGTGAGTACTTTTCAGACCCCTGGGCTAGGCCATTCCCTCAACTAAATGTGCTTCTTCTTTAGCCACTCCTGTGTCGCCTTGGCCGTATGTTAAGGTTTATTGTCCTGCTGGAAGACCCATCCATGACCCATTTTCAGTGTCTTGGCTGAGGGAAGGAGGCTATCGGCCAATATGTCACGGTACATGGCCCCGTACATCCTGTCCTCGATGCAGGGAAGTCGTCCTGTCCTCTTAGCAGAGAAACACATTTCGTCCTGTTGACTGTTGGGCTGCTTTGTGGAGTTTTACTGATAATTCTCCCGCTGCTGTTCCTGTATCTCTACAGAAAATCAAAAGGTAAGAACCTTTTCATCTGATATCAAATTAATTCAACTATAATTACTCAAAATCACACATGACATGTACCGGAAACCTTTGCAATTCAAGAAAAATGTAACTAATCAAATGTTTTTCCTTTTTTCAACATATTCTGTCTTCATCAGGTCGGTACAACCCTCTTTTATCTCATTTTGAACATTACAGCAGTTACATGTTAAAGTCAATCCACTTCATTATCTTCATGTGTATGGCCCACAAGATCTCAGAGCACCAATCAGGGCCCTGCTACAGACCACATGATCAACCAGGATGGAATTCAAAACATGCCACAATATTCTACTCTCCTCCATGGTCAGCCATTGTCCGGTTTAATAATATGATTTATTTTAACTTTTAACACTAAAATGTGGCTTGATTCTCACTTCTCTGTAGGAGATTGTTGTCTCTATGAAACAATAGGAGGGCCTGTAGAAGCTGGAAATGGTACAGTATTTCATCTGTGTTTAACATGGAGTAATACAAATAATGGGGCGAAGCCTGCGAGCTAGTTCAGGCAGTCAACTCGAGCACCATGATACATTAACACGTGACGCACCTCGTCGCTCTTACAACCAACCAAACACATTCTCCTAAACATGCCGCTCTATTTAAGCTGCCAGTTCTTCCTGCCTCTGCCTCGCTATGCTGCTGCTGCTGCTGTGTTCACTTGCTATTGCTGCGTTCATGTTCATGTTCCTGCTGCTGTGTTTGATGTCACTGCTGCTTGCCTGACCCACCACCCCAGCTCCACCCCAGCTTCCACCTGTAGGCTCGGGGGATAGTTATCTAATCATCACTCAATGTTCTTTGTAAATCTGTGGAGTGATGAGGCCCGAACCTAGACGCCAAACTCAAACTATATTCTGC